TTCCTTCTAATTTTTATTTATTTTTTTTATTTTAAAAAAATTTTTTTTTTTTCAACGTTTATTTATTTTTGGGACAGAGAGAGACAGAGCATGAACGGGGGAGGGGCAGAGAAAGAGGAAGACACAGAATCGGAAACAGGCTCCAGGCTCTGAGCCATCAGCCCAGAGCCCGACGCGGGGCTCGAACTCACGGACCGCGAGATCGTGACCTGGCTGAAGTCGGACGCTTAACCGACTGCACCACCCAGGCGCCCCTCTAATTTTTATTTTTAGTAGAGTAATTCATGTGCATAATTTCAATGTTAAATGGGATTGTAAAGCTTATAAGGAAAATAGTGATCATCCCCAAATACCATCCTGCAAATACTTCCAGCATTTCCAGCTGCTGTGCTGGTATTATGTACATGTGTTTAAATTGTTTGTTTACCCTTTTTTCTTTTTGATTTTAGATATTACCTATTACCCTGTACAATGCAGGTTGAGGATTTAGCACTCATAACATCCCTTCCCCCACTCATAGTCCTTTTCTTGATTCCATGCTCCAGCTAGAGTTTTAATATTTTTTTCAATTAAAGCTTAATGTTTATATTTTTTATGATTAGGTAAATTATGTCCACAGCTTAGCCAAGCAATATATTATATTTTGGCACTGTATGACTTTTCAGATTTTTTTTGGATTTGTTAATAATTGTATATCCTCCTTTTGGGGCACCTGGCTGGCTCATTTGGTAGAGCATCTGACTCTTGATCTCAGAGTCATGAGTTTGAGCCCCACACTGGGTATAGAGATTACTTAAAAAAAAAAAAAGAATAATTGTCTCTCCTCCTTTTGAATTTAATTTTCTATTACAAATCATTACTTATTCCCATATTATTTTATAGAACTATAAAATTCCTATCAATATAGTCAGACACATCAGGGAATCTATTATTGAGGCTTCTTGCTACACAGCTGCCATTGTGGGATTTCCCCTCATCATTATCCGAGGATTTCCTTTTTTCTTTTCCTGTATTGGATCTCATGCCTTCCTTACAGCTCTTGGTTTACTCCTTCATTTTGGTGAACTACATCCCCTCTTAGCTTTCTGAGAAAATATGCAAGGAAATAAATTAGAGACCTTCTACTTCTTAAACAGTTTTTAATCTGATCTCACATGTACTTTATAGTTTGTCCAGATGTAGAATTGTAGGTTGCTAATTGTTCCCTCTCAAAAATTTAAAAGGCTTTGCTCCACTATTAATGAAAAGTTCAACTACTGCCCTAATTCCGTGTCCTTTCTATTTTTTCTCTTTATTTGCCTCTTTCTTCTTTCATTTTCTCCAGTGCTCTGAAATTGCATTGGAATATGTCTTAGGATGGAAAAAGAAGATGTGATACAGATACATACATACATACATACATACATACACACTGGAATATTACGCAGCCTTTAGAAAGGATGAGATCTTACCATTTGTGACAACATGAATGGACCTAGAGGGTATTATGCTAAGTGAAATAAGTCAGACTTAGAAAGACAAATACCATATAATTCCACTTATATGTGGAATCTAATGAACAAACAAAAAGTGTAGATCCATAAATATAAACACAGAGAACGTACTGATGGTTGCCAGTGTAAGGGAGTGAGTGTTTGAAGCATAGTGGGAGGTACAGGCTTCCAGTTATGGAATGAGTAAGTCATGGAATAAAAGGACCAGCACAGGGAACGCAGCCAATGATATTGTAATAGTGTTGTATGATGACAGATGGTAGTTACACCTGTGGTGAGCATACCATAATATAAAGACTAGTTGAATCACTGTGTTGTTCACTCGAGAGACGTAACACTGTGTGTCAGCTATACTCAAGTTAAAAAACATTTATAAAAAGAATGTGTCTTAGGGAGGATATGTTTGAATTCATTGTCTGGGTACTCAGTGGGCCCTCTTACGGTCTAGACTATTTTCTTTTCTTTGTTCCCACTTTCTAGAACTCTTTAGATCACCTGAATTATTGACTCTTTTCTTTTTCTTACATTTTCTTTGAAGGTTTGGCTTTTTCTTTTACTTACTGGAACACTTTCCTGATTATATCTTCCAAACTTAATTCAAAATTTTAATTTCAGATTTTCTAACTTAATTTTTAATCTCAAAGACTTTTCCTGTGTTCTCTGGTTAGTTTTTCCTTTTTCTAAAGAGCATTCCCTTCTCTATGGCATCTTTCTGAAACTATTAGTTCTATTTTTTTGTGAAGTATTTTTCTTCCTTATGCCTTGTCTCTGTTTTCTCCCCACCTTTTTTTTTTTTTGTGGTAGAGATTTTACAGAAAAGTTCATTTATATTTGAGGGTCAGTCACTGATTGGAACCTCTATTCATGCAGCAGAGTTAAGATCTTTCTCCTTTCCTTCCTTCCTTCCCTCCTTCTTTCCTTCCTTTCTTCTTTCCCTCCTTCCCTCCTTCCCTCCTTCCTCCTTCTTCTGCATCTTCTTCTTTTTCTTCTCCCTCTCCCATTTTTTTGAACAACTGTCAACTCTTAATATCAAGAAGTCTTCTTGGAGGGCAAGTTTCTCTGGGGAAAAATCCTGCAGTTTCTTGTGAGTGATATGCCTGGGAGGCAGCATTTAGGAGTTAAAGGTAATGAGATGAAGGTCTCATCCACTGTTCAAACCGTAGACTTTAACTTGATTCCTTTCTTTTATTCTTGCCTTCTGCTATGGCGGGTGTTTCTAAGTTCACAAGCTCTCTTGTCGAGTTTCTTTTCAGAATAAATCACTCTTTTCTTGCATGTACCGGGAAGAGAGGGGTTTCCAGTTTTGCGGAGGGTAGGGAAGCATTTACAGGGGATACTGCTAGGAGCCCCACCTCGGAAAACACGTGGTAGCCCCAATACCTGAAAAAGCTTGCTTTCCTTTGGCATATCTCTCTGCAGACAGGCAAGTTTCAGCACCCCTTTCACTAAGCCAGCTCCAGGCTCCAAGAGCGTTCCGTTGTTCAGAGATTTGGGGCCATCTCTCCTCGTTACCCTTATGGTATTATACTTTTTAAAATTCATTTACCCCTATTTCAGTCAAGTTTAGGAAAAGAAATGGAAATGCATGCATCTATCTGATTTAATTCATTTAATCAGAATTTCTAGGATACTTCTGATCTTGTAAGGAGAAGATAAATCTTCTTCCTTATATTTTATTCATTAAATCGGTGACTAAGTTGCTTAATTAGAAGATATAGCTGGTGGGAGTAGTTAAAATATTTCTTTTTGAAAATTACTACATAGGATAATACACTCTGTAGGTATTGATAGATATTGAGTGATTTGACTAAGTTAAATACATATTAAATATATTTATTATTTTCTTTCTTACATGTGAACAAATTATATTTTGAAATACCATTTAAAGATCTTCAAAACAGATTTCTTTTCAACTTGTTCAGTCAATTCCCCTCCATAATTAGCTTACATTTGCATTTGCTCAGCTAAATTTTATTTTCTAAATCCTTGCCACAGATAATCCTTAGAGCCACATTGTAAGTGAGCTGATTTCATTTGTTCAAATATAATTACTGAGTTCACGCCAGGCACTGGACTGCATAATGAAGGAACAGGAAGACACATTCCTTGCCCTCATGCAGTTTTATAATCTAATTGGAGAAGAAAGATAATTAAAACAAGAATTATATGAAATATGTTTAGGGTGTTTAGG